GCTGGGGTCGGCACGGGCCCGATTTGGTGGGACGTCGCCGTCGAAGAGGCGGTTGCGCCGCCCCTGGCCCCGCTCGAGCTCCCTTTCCGTCCCCATTCGCCGTCCCCTGCGTCCTCCTGCCTCCCTCTCTCTCTCTCTCTCTCTCTCTCTCTCTTTCTACCTACAATTATGCAATATGAGTACTGCTGTTCTCTTTAACCAGATATTGTCCGAGCGGAGCCGATGCATCGGATTGCAAGAGGCTGTATTCGATCTGGCCTTTGTTGCAACCGGAACGCTTTCGGTGTTTCGAACTGGTGATCCCGTTGCAGCGTTGTTCTCGTTTAGTTCCCGTCGTTCGAATTGGCGCGCTCGCCATGGCGCGGGCTACAATTCTGGTTCCTCCGTCGTCGTCGTCGTCGTCGTCCCCCAGTGCTGATCAGCGGTAAGTGGAAATCGTGTAGAAGTGGTCCTTCGAGCGTGCGTTTTCCCGCGGTCCCTGCGATGCGATGGGGCATCCCAGCGTCCCTGCTCTAGGATGCCAAGTCTTGTATGATCATCACGTCACACAGTTTCCACCTAGGTTGAGCCGCCTGGTGCCGCTTGATTCGCGCGTGTGCACGCACAGCATTGCGAGTTTTAGGCTCCCGCCTAGCCACGGCTTCGCCAGCATGTGTGTGGCGGGTCCGTTACGTCGGATGCGCTTTCATCGTTCGGTACCTCTCGTCATCCACCCTCCGCTTCCCCCTCGCCCGCCTTCCGATTCCCCTCCCTTCCCCCCACCAATCCCCCCTCCCCCTCCCATTCCCCCGCTGCCCTCCCGCGCCCCTTCCCTCGGCCCGCCCTTTGCCTTCCCGCTCCCCTCCCCCTCCCCCGTCGAAACCTAGGAGAGGTGCAACGCTGCATGCCGGCGGCGAGTCTTTGAGCCCACCGTGCGGGAAAATCCGATGCGTTCTGTGCACGAAATTAGCGGGGATGTCCAGGAGGGGGGGTAGAATGAGATAGGAGGAGGAGGAGGAGGAGGAGGAGGAGGAGGAGGAGGAGGAGGAGGAGCGGACCAGATGCGAAGGTTAAGGAGGAGGAGGAGGCGAAAAGAAGGGGATGCGAGGAGAGGAGAGGAGCCTGAGGAGAGGTGGAGGAGGAGGAGGAGGAGGAGGAGGAGGAGGAGGAGGAGGAGGAGGAGGAGGAGAGGGAGGAGGCGGACACGGAGGAGTATGAGGATCCACAGTGGTGCAGGTCGCTTGTCCATGATAGTTGTCCGCGCTGCTCCGGAGCACGCCTTCAATTCTTTTATAGCTAGAGATTTTCACGGCGAGCATTCTCAACTGTCCACCTGCCTGCGGCAAGTCCCGCGGCCGTGCCAGCCCAGCACCTGCGGTGGCGACTGTTCGGGGGGCGCACAGGTGACAGTAACGTCTGACACCTCGTGCCCCGAGGCTTGGGAGAGCCGTAACATGTGACCCAGTCCTCTTCGTTGTGTTGGGAGTATTCTTCTCGCCTTCGTCGTCTTCGTACCCATCTCTCCACCTCCTGCTCCCATCTCTCCGACTCCAGCTCCCGTCTCTCTGCAACTGGTCGTCTTTCCGATTCTGGTTTCCCTCTCTCCGACTCCGGCTCCCATTCCCGACTCTTGCCCCCAACACGTCTCCTGAGGTTTCTGCCCCCCCCCGCGCTGCTGTCTGAGGGCCGGTCCCGCCGGACCGGCATCGCGCGCTCGCCTCGCCTTCCGTCTTCTCATGGATTCTTGTTCCCTGGAGCCACCTTGGGCCCCTCCTGGGCCGTCCTTGGGGCTCTCCTGGGCCGTCTCGGGGCGCTTCTGGCCGTGTGCTGGGGGTCTCTTGCGGCCGTCTTCGGGCCGTCCTGGGCCGTCAGAGGGCTCTCGAAGGCCGTCTTGGGAGCCCCTTCGGAGGCCCTCCCGGGCCAGCTCGGGGCTCTCTTGGGGCTGTCCTGGGCCGTCTCGAGACCGTCTTCGGCTGCCCTGAGGCCGTCTTAGATACTACGGTTGGCAACTCTGAGGCGCTCTTGGGCCATCTCTGCAGGCCATCTTGCAGGCCTGTGGGGCCGTCTGGAGCTGCAGGCAGCCCGAAAAGGTGAAGGCGCCCAATCCTTTGAGAGACGCACGAGACATGATTCCTGGTTTTGGACTTCTTCTGGCCCTGCTGGGGGTCTTCTTGTGGCCCTCTTGGGCGGCTCTGGGGGCCTCTTGGGCCGCCTTGATGCCATCCTGGGCCGTTTTGGAGGCAGCTTGGACCATTTTGTTGGTTTTGGTTGCCTGCCTCGGACGTCTCGGAAGAGCGTGTGAGTCACATGAGTGTCCGACGAAAGCATCTATTCTCCACCGTGCCAGGCCAGGGCCATCCTGGGCCCTGGGATGGTGCATACATGGACCCTCCCGGCCTCGGCCAGGAGTGCGTATACATCACGCCAGGGCCAGGATGACCCTGGCTCGGCACGGTGGTGGTGTATTAGATGCTTTCTGCGTCTAGTGTTTCCTTATGTGGGCTCGTGACCTCGGGAGCGCGGATCACTAGACCCTCCTGGCCTCGGTCAGGAGTGCGCATACACCACGCCAGGGCACGGTGGTGGTGCATTAGATGTTTTCTGCGTCTTGTGTTCTCTTATGTGGGCTCGTGACCTCCTTCATTGTCGATTGTCCTTATGTGGGCTCTGTACTTGCCATTTGTCACTCTCGATTTCTGCCGCTATAGAGCCTCACAGCCGCACGATGTGAGTTGTGATAGCCCCTTTGAGGGGAAGCGGATTGAATACGGTTTCGGAGCAAGGGCAGAGGCTCGTGGGTGTTTGCTTGGAAAAAATGCTGGCTCGTGGTATTTTGAGTATTATAAAAAAATGGTGAGCATTTTTTGACCATTTTGGCGTATTTTTGGGGTCGGAGGTGAGGGGGTGAGATCGAAGTGGAACGGAGAGCCCCCCTACCGGGAAATCGGTTTCGGTTTCGTGTTCGTGCGTGCCGTGCGTGCGGGCGAGGCGAAGCTGTGTGGGCGGGCGAGAAGAAAGTCTCCTCCAGCTGAGGCGCGGCCGGACCAATGTTTCCTCTCCAGGGGCCGGTGGCCCGCGGTGTCCCGCCGGTGTCCCGCTTCCCGCTGAGGCGCGGCCGGACCAAATGATTCCTCTCCGGGGCCAGTGGCCCGCGGTGTCCCGCCGGTGTCCCGTCGGTGTCCCGATGATGATGATGATGATGATGATGATGATGATGATGATGATGATGATGATGATGATGATGATGATGATGATATGATGATGATTATGATGATGATGATGATGATGATGATGATGATGATGTCGATGATGAGGATGATGTCGATGATGTTGATGATGATGGTGATGGTGGTGATGGTGGTGATGATGATGGTGTCCCGATGATGATGATGATGATGATGATGATGATGATGATGATGATGATGTTGATGTTGACGACGTTGATGATGATGGTGATGGTGATGGATGATGATGTTGATGATGAGATGAGATGATGATGTTGATGAAGATGATGATGTTGTCCCGATGATGATGTTGATGATCAGGTTGATGATGATGCTGTTGATGATGATGATGGTGATGGTGATGATGGTGTCCCGATGATGATGATGTTGATGATGATGAGTTATGAAGATGATAGTGTCCGATGATGACGATGATGAGGTGATGATGATGGTTTTGATGATGGTGGCCCGATGATGATGATTATGATTATGATGTTGATGTTGATGATGATGGTGCCCCCATGATGATGATGGTGATGCTGCTGCTGGTGACGATGATGATGGTGTCCCGATGATGGTGATGATGTTGCTGATGATGATGATGGTTTCCCGATGATGGTGATGTTGATGATGTTGTTCATGATGGTGAGATGATGATGGTGGTGTTCCATGCTGATGATGATGATGGTGTCCCGATGATGATGTTGATGATGATGGTGACGATAATGGTGTCCCGATGATGATTATGGTGATGATGATGCTGATGATGATGGTGATGAGGTGATGATGACGATGATGGTGGGTCGATGATGATGATGATGATGTTGATGATGATGTTGTTGATGATGACGTTGATGACGATGACGTTGATGATGATGACGTTTATTGTGAGATCGGTTGTGAGATCGATAGTGAGATCGATAGTGAGACCGAATGTCAGTTCAATTGCGAGGTCGATAGTGAGATCGATTGTGAGATCGATAGTCACGTCGATTGTGAGATCGATCGAATGAAATAGATCGATTGTGAGATTGATCGAGTGAGATCGAGCGAGACCGATAGTGAGATCGATAGTGAGACCGATCGAGTGAGACGTTGGTTCCTCCCTTACCACTCGAAGGGTGGTCGTATAGCTTTTTTTTATTCTCCGTCGAACATCCCCCTGGAGGGGGGCACGGCCGACCGAAGTCAAGTGTTCTCTTATGTGGGCTCGTGACCCCGGGGAGCGCGGAGCAGCTGTCCGGCACGAGGGGGAGGGGGGAGGGGGGGGGGGAGGAGGAGGGAGGGAGGGAGGAGGGAGGAGGGAGGAGGGAGGAGGGAGGAGGGAGGAGGAGGAGGAGGAGGAGGGAGGAGAGAGGAGGGAGGGGCCGCGGCGCCGGGAGCGCGCGGGCCCACGGCTTCTCTCGACGAGGGGCCGCGGCCCGCGGCCGATCGGAGAGGGGAGGCAGATCCTCGGGAGGGACGAGCACGCAGACACAGTGCGTCGTCGACGCCCAGGAAGCCATCGGGAAATATGGGCAGTGGGGGCTCGTGACCCCCCGGAGCGCGGATCAGCTGTCCGGCACGAGGGGGCTCGGAGGGCTCGTGGCGCCGGGAGCGCGGACCCACGGCTTTGACGAGGGGTCGCGGCCCCGGAGAGGGGAGGCAGATTCTTAAGTCGGGCCTGCCCCCCTACAGGGGGATTTTGGAAGAAAGATAAAACATATTCCAGAAATATTCAAAACATGCCAAGAAATACGAAACAATTGTCCCCTGACGATTTGTTCATTGTGGTGGCAATCAGTTTCTGCTGGGAGGGGGGGAACACGATAACACGATAACACGATAACCGAAACAGTAACAGGGGGGGAACACGATAACACGATAACACGATAACACGATAACCGAAACAGGAACAGGGGGGAACACGATGACACGATAACACGATAACACGATAACCGAAACAGGGGCAGGGGGGAACACGATAACACGATAACACGATAACACGATAACCGAAACAGGGCAGGGGGAACACGATATCACGATATCTCTTTAGCGCGTTATCGTGTTATCGTGTTCTCGTGATTTGGGATGTACTGTTCTCGTGATTTGGTATGTAGCGCGTCGTGTTGGAAATTCGTTCCCCCTCGCCAGAAATGGGTTCCTTCTCTATACCGTGATATCGTGTTATCGTGTTTTGGGGTGGAGAGCATCGTGAGGGAGTTAGCCAGCAGATATGCCTCTCGCGCTGCTCACTCCAGCGGTGTCTTGGCGTTGCTTCTTGGGGTAATTCCAGTGGTGCTTCTCGCGCTGGTCTTGGGGTGAATTCCATTGGTGCTTCTTCGTGGTTTTCTGGATCGAGTGTTCCCCGTGGTATATCCACACATGCTTCTCGTGCGGGTAATTCCAGTGGTGCTTCGGCGCTGCTTCTTAGGATGATCCCAGTGGTGCTTCTCGAGCTACTTCCCCGAGCAATTCCAGTGGTGTTTCTCGCGGTGCTTCTTCGGTAAATTCCAGCGGGGCCGCTTCCCGGAGTATAATTTACGGGGTGCTTCGGCGCTGCTTCTTGGGGTAATTCCAGTGGTGCTTCTCGCGCTGCTTCTTGGGGGTAAAACCGGTCGTTCTTCTCGCGCTGCTCTTGGGGTGAATTCAATTGGTTCTTTTGCGTGGTTTTTTGGATCGGGTGTTTCCTGCGGCATTTCCTTTTATGCTTCTCGCGCAGGCCAGTCCAGCGGTGCTTTGGCGCTGCTTCTTGCGGTCGCGCTGGTCTTTGGGTGAATTTCATTGGTGCTTCTTCGTGGTTTTGTGGATCGGGTTTTCCCCGTGGTATATCCACATATGCTTCTCGTGCGGGTAATTCCAGTGGGGCTTCGGCGTTGCGTCTTAGGATGCTTCCAGTGGTGCTTCTCGAGCTACTTTCCCGAGCAATTCCAGCGGTGCTTCTCGCGGTGCTTCTTCGGTAAATTCCAGTGGCGCCGCTTCCCGGAGTATAATTTACGCGGTGCTTCGGCGCTGTTCCTGGGGGTAATTCCAGTGGTGCTTTTCGCGCTGCTTCTTGGGGCAATTCCAGCGAGATTTCCGCCAGAAATGAGTCCCGATGTCCGTTGCGATTGTGGCTGAAGCG